GTGTGTGTGTGCGTACGTGTGCGTGTGCGTACGTGTGCGTGTGCGTGCGTGTGCGTGTGTGCGTACGTGTGCGTGTGCGTGCGTGTGCGTGCGTGCGCGTGTGTGTGTGTGCGCGCGCCCGTTTCCCTTATATCATAAATAATTATTCACTTGGCCACGTTCTTATTGTATCAGCAAATTCACACGCTAAACAAATCCCCATAATGTCCGCCACCGACCCTTCAATAATTACCCTGAAAAATAAAGCGACCTCTCGAACTCACCCAAGCAGTCTTATGCTCGTTCTTCTTGGCGGCGTCGAAAATATATTGCGGGTAAGAAATCTCGGGAATCTCCACATCATTGAACGGAGACTTAATCAACCATCGGTCCGATAACGAGGCACAACCTCGAACCTGTCTCAGTACACGACATGAAGCACCCAAAGGAGATCCGTAATATTTCTTAAAGAGACCACTTCGCAAGAAGGACGAGGCGGAGCGAACAGATCCCATCGCAACAGCGTTCTTGTAAACACTGATCAGCTGAGCGAGTGGGGGAGGGATTCGTAGTGGGCAACGAAAAGGTGTTCAGATGCGCGAGCGTGAGGTGTCCTGAGGGGGGACGTTGCCGGTTTGTTGACTCGGGTTTTATTTTATTTTTAGGAGAATGGACTCGGTTTAGAGCGAAAATGTGCAAATGTTGATAACGTCATGATGAATTGATTTTCTGATAACGCCATATTCGTTATATGGTTCGTACAGAGATGAGGGATCAGCAAACAAGCTGTTATATGTAGATTTCAGTAATGTATATTACTGATAATTGTGGAAACTGATTTACTAAGATATTATACAAGGGAAATAGAAATGTCAATGTATAATTTATTTTCAGAAAATCTCTTTAGCTTAAATCTGATTTTCAAAATATGGTGTACGACAACTATAATTTGACCTTCCAAACGTACGATTCTTCTGCGGCGGTAATAGTGGTTTAAAAGCGCTATATCTATCATTTTATTCTAATTATGATTCTTTTCGTTTTGGTAGCTATACTTGAACTTGAACTTAATCGTTGTTACAATGTTTATTGTCCTTTTCACTAAATTAATAGTTCAATAACAATTCAACATTGTTAATTATAATACGATTATCAACACGAAATAATTACTATTATCGTTACCACTACGACTACTACTACTACGTTATAAATTCGGTAAATCAGAATACTTTCGCATGACCGATCGTGACGATTTGGGTATCGATGGATTCATCTCACTCTCTATTATCCAAATATATCAATATTATGCCACGAACAATCTTGGCCCCGGCAGCAGGGGACGGCATGAGAGGTACCAAGGAAATTGTATGATAAAATATCCTGTTGTACATACGTGGAGGATTCTTTCTATTCCTGGGCGGGGGTTGGGGGACGGCAGCCCCTCATGAGGAGTCGCAGGGGGCGCAGTCCTTGAATTTAGCGGCATAGTGAGGTATTATCTTCATTATATTATTATATTATTGTTACTTTACCTAGCAATTTACCTGGTACCTTTCATGACTTCCCCTGCTATCGGGGCCAAGAATGTGAATGAGTGGGGGTCCGCGGTATAATTCCTACATCTGTGGGTATTTGAGAAAGGGAGAGGAATCCATCGTTACCAAAATCATCGAAGTCGGTTATGCGAAGGCATTGTGAAAAATGACCACTAATTCATTATTAGTATTCATGGACATCGACAGGCTTTTATCTGTCTGTCTCTTTCGAAATAAAGTTTAAATTAATTTTAACCTCTGCGTACAGCAATTTTTATGCCTTTTACTGGATTGGGTGGTTAGGGATAGAGTAATCTCTAACTCTTTATCTGAAAAGAACTCAAATAAGTAATTCATGAGAAGTATCTCACACAAATCATGAGAAAGCTTGTTAAAATTTTACCTGTTATCGATGAAAAGTATGCGTCTCTGTAGAACTGACACCGTATTATTCTTGAAATTACTTCATTATCAGTTGTAGTAGTAGTACTAGTATCATATTATTATTATTACAATCAACAGCCTTTTCATTATCGTCATCGTCACCACCACCACCACCATATTCACCACCATCATCACCACCATCATCACCATCATCATGCTCTTATTATCATCACCATCACCACTTAGCATGGCAGAGATACATCTGACAGACTGACTTGAGGGTAACATGTCCGAGTAACATCATTGTATCTCAAGTATTGATCATAAAAAAAATCTGTCAGTTTTCAAACCATTATCACCATCAGCATGTCGACATGCCACCGAAGTCAAATGCATATATCTGTGTCGCGATTAAAGAAAAGCGTAACACCATCGTATCAGCATCATCAATCATATCGTATCATCAGCGGTATTACATCATTGGAACTAATAACAATAATCACAATAACGCAGTAAGAATAGCTTCATATGATCGTTATCGTATGTACTATTATCGTTCTTATATCAATCCTTATTATCATTATTACTACACTTATCCTGAATAATTCCTGTGTCAATACCATTATCATCAATACATCTCTATCTTTACACATACACACGCACGCATGCACACACACACACACACACACACACACACACACACACACACACACACACACACACACACACACACACACACACACACACACACACACACGCGCAAGCACGCACGCACACGCACACACACACGCGCATACACACACGCGCATACACACACGCGCATACACACACGCGCATACACACACACACACACACACACACACACACACACACACACACACACACACACACACACACACACACACACACACACACACACGCACACACGCACACACGCACACACATACACACATACACACACACACACACACACACACACACACACACACACACACACACACACACACACACACGCACACACACAGATAGGTAGATAGATATATGCATGTATATATATGTACATATATGTATGCATGTATGTATGTATGTGTATATATACATTATATATATATCATATATATATCATATATATATATATATATATATATATATATATATATATATATATATATATATATATATATGTATCTGGATATATATATATATATATATATATATATATATATATATATCAGTATATATATATATTTATATATGTATATGACTATATGTCTGTTTGTCCATCTACACACACTTTTTTGTGAGTGTGATGGACAGATAGATAAATTGATACACATATACATCATACGCGCATAAACATCATACACCCAAGTATCCCTAAAAAATATTGAGGAATAATGTGATATATAAAACGAATTTTCCAATTACGAGGTAAAGTCTATTACACGATTTAGATATTTTCTACCTGGTAAACAAGTCGATAGGCCTACTAATTTCATTTCCATGGTTAATACCAATATCTATTAGTGTTTCAAGGTCTTTATACAAAAAAATTACTGTATCCAATCGACAATACAGTAAAAATAACTTGTCAGCGTGTTAACCTTGACATTTCTGACATAACTCTAGTCGGTTTTTTTCCTTCTCTTTTGACGAAAATGCGCTTGGCATGTTGATGATTTATGGGTGATAGATTGGCGATAATATTTTGATGACAGACAGATTGGTAATGATAATTAATTGAAATTCAAAGATGTTAGCTGGATATATATTCTGCTAATTATCAAATTCTCAAGATTCGCTTTGTGAAAAACTGGAATATACATGTTTACGATTTCTTCTGTTATAGAAATTAAAGAGAATCAATATGTTTACATTGTATAACTTAATATATTAATCTACAATGAAATAAGCACATGTGTACCCAAAATTTCAACACTTTAATCACGAAATAAAGGATTCTTCTCGAAAATTTAGATGTAAACTTACCATGGCTGGTTTGTCAATCTGCGGCTGTTGTGCATCAAATATTAACTGATGTAAACTTGTTACTTTAATATCTACTTCGTATTTAGGTTTCATTATCCACTTTTCTTCATCTGTGGACTTTACAGTTTTCGTATTACGTAACTCATTTTTCCAGGTAGAGCATTTCCTGAGAAAAGGACGAAAAACACAAGAGTTAAACGCGGAAACTGCTTTACGAATCGTTGACATCTTGCCTATGAGCGTTTATTCCCTCTTCTCCGCGGGGCCGGAATTAACAGGGATAACGAAATCAAGGGAAAATCGATGTTATTGAACATACGTGACATTTTGTACTCTAAATCAACTAGATTTGAAAAGTTGCCAATTTTTTGTGTCACGAAAGTACGTGTATTTTTTTTTCTGAACACGTATATGTATGTGTATATGTATATGTATGGTGTATCTTTAGAATGGTTTACATGATGTGCGGTAAATGTTGGCTTAGGAAAAATATATACAACAGGTGTATCTTTAGAATGGTTTACATGATGTGCGGTAAGTGTTGGCTTAGGAAAAATATATACAACAGGACGTTATATTTATCAGAGAATATGATATATTTAACACAATTCTATTAATATGTTTGTTTTATTGACCAGGGCAGCTTGTGGACACAGTGGCATTTAGGTTTAATATCGTAACAAAAATAATGGGACAGCAAAAGGCATAACCCACAGAACATAGATTACCAACGATCAGATGATGGTCACAACGTTCCTTCTTGTAGCAAAAGTAAATCGTAGAGAGCATTGCACATGCCTTTGTTCTTTAGGCGATCATCATTATATGCGGGCATGCGAGTCCAAAGGTGTTCTCAGATCATATGTAATTTCGTAAGCACACACACACACACACACACACACACACACACACACACACACACACACACACACACACACACACACACACACACACACACACACACACACACACACACACATATATATATGTATATATACATATATATATATATATATATATATATATATATATATATATATTTATATGTGTGTGTGTGTGTGTATACATATATGTATATGTACATATATATATGTATATATGCATATATATACA